CCTCAGGGAGCCATTGGTCCTTCCTGCACACAGACTCCAGGCAGGGAGGTCGGCCGGTCTGCCCTCACCCTCTGCTGCTTGAATCTCTAAGCTTGCCATGGTGTATTTGTTCGCAGTGGGGAGTGGGGTGACTCAGTGGGAATTTAACTGCTAGGCCTCCAACACCAGCTCCATCTGTTACTCGTTTGTATCTTGGGTGACTTACCCTCTCCATGTCTCGTTTTGTCTCATCAGTGAAATGGGACGAGAATAGAATACCTCGCACTTTGTGTGTGGCACAGCGTCGGCACCACTTTTGAGCCAGTGCCTGCCAGTGAGTGTGCGCACACGATAGTAATTTGAAAGCTCCACCACATATGCCTCAGTCCTGCAGCCAGCGGGCCGACCTCCTCCCCCTCTGGGGCTGGCGAGATGTGTTAGCAAGTGTTTGGTCTTGAACCAGCCTCAGATTTAGGTCAATGTGAACCTGGTCTCTGCCACGTTCTCAGTGTCCTCTGGACACACCTGGGAGGGGTGCAGGAGGAGGGGACACATGGGGTGCAGGGAGCAGGTGTCTGTGGGTTTGTGCTAAGTGTTGACCCTGCCTTTTACCGCCTCTGACTCATCCTGGCCTCATGACAGCCCAGTGAGTGGGACAGTACTGTCCTCTTTAGGGAGAAACAAAAACAAGGCAAGAGAAATCATCAAATCAGAGAGATGAAGCACGTTTCCCAAGCCACCCAGCTGATGGTGACAACGATGATGCTCTAGCTGACATTTAAACCCCTACTATGTGCCAGGCACTGCTCTACACACTTCACACAGCCCACTTAATCTTTTTTTATTATTAATCATCACCTGAGGATAGTTTTTCCCTTGATTTTTTTCTTTTTTTGAGAGAGTGGAATAGAGGGGGAAAGTCAGAGTGAGAGAAAGATCGATGTGAGAGAGACACATTAACTGGTTGCCTCCCGCACATGCCCCCACCAGGGCCGGGGATTGAACCTGCAACCCAGGCATGTGCCCTTGACCAGAATTGAACCCGTGACCCTTTAGTAACCTGGGTGGAGGCAAAACAGTAAAAGGGTTAAAAGGGAAATGATGCTTTTCTCCAGTATTCTTATGCTGTACAATAAAGAAGATGCTTGTTTCTAAAGTTAACAGTGCTTATTGCTTCAGGGCCCTCTCTCGGCATGGGCACCACATGTTAGCCAGGGTTGTGAACTGTCTTCCTGTAGCTCTGGACTGGGGGGGTTTTGGGGGAAGTAGATGGGAAGTCAGTTTCCCATCACAAATAGGAAACCTGTTTCTCAGAAATGTTGCCATTTTAAACGGGATGATTTTCTTCATCTCAAAGCTAAAATTCCTAACTTTAGAGAACAAAATGTGTAAAGAGCCATAGGAATTTCTGTATGTTGGATGACTTTAATGTTGCATTTTAAGGAAAATAAAGTAATAATATGAAAAAAAAAATAGCCAAGGCTCCAACCACTGAGAAAAATCAGCCAGGGCAACTCACTTAATCTTAACAACAACCCCTGAGGAAATACTATTCTCTCCCCATTTTACAGACAACTGCAAAGCACAGAAAGGCTAAATTACTTGACCCAAGACACAAGCTAATAAGTGACAGACTTAGGACTTGAACCAGGATAGTCTTGACCAGCATTCAGCAGACTTTTTCTTTAAAGGGCTGTGTACTAACTACCGTAGGCTTTGCCAACGATGCAGTTTCTGTCACAAACATCAACCCTGCCATTGTCGCACCGATGCAGCCATAGACTATGTAAGCAAATGAGCAAGGCTGTGTTAGCTGTGTTCCAATGAAACTTCATTTATAAAACAGTGGGTCCGTCTTAGCCTACAAGCCACCGTGTGTCCACTCATGGTCTTAATTCTACATTAAGAGGGTGAGGACCCAAAAGCACCAAAGCTGTCTGAGAAATAAAATCATAATTGTGAACAAAATGTTGACAGTTCTCTGGCCTTGTCCATGTGACAGTGTACAGTTCATTCAGGTCAATGCAACATTGTTTATTGAAGACAGACTTCACACCAGGCACTACCTTCTACACTTGAACGAAACAGACTGGAACCCCCCCGCCGCCAAGGCCCTCACCTGTGAGCTTACTTCCAGCACAGCCGGGCTGGGAGCTGGTGAATAATATTTATCACGAGTTCACACAATACACAGCTAAGTTATACATGTGCGAATAGTGAGGTCTGGAGAGAAGTAGAGCTCAGTGAGGGATGTGGGAGCAGGAGGAGAGGCATGGGAAGGCGGGTCGGTCTCACTGAGAAGGTGACATTTCAGCCAAGACTTTAAGGAGGGAAGAGGTGAGACCTGTGTGTATCTTGGAGAAGAGCTTTCCAGGCAGAGGAACAGCCAGTGCAAAGGCTCTGAGGGGGGAGCAAAGGCCTTCGTGGTCTGGGGGTCCTGCACAGGTGGCCAAAGGATGAGGTAACAAGAGCCTGATTTTGTGATCTCAGAAAGAGCAAGAAGGTGGCTGCAGTGCCTTTATGAACATGATCAGCATGTTCTTCAGAAGCGAGTCGCCAAGCTCCCTACGCTCAGGGGAAGGGACGCAAGCTCCACCTCTTGAAGGTAGAGTATCCTAGAATGTGTGGACACATTTTAAAACCACCACGCAGGGTGTGTGAATTTGGGGCAAAACAACATTGTCGTAGGTAGTGCCAGTTTAATTTTCATGAAGTCTAAAACGTGATGCCCATGCAAGCACATAGTGAGCACGTGTCAAAGATTTATCATGATTAATAAATGAAGGGTGATAAAGCCAATTTAAAAGATAAGTCAAGTCTGGCCAGCCTGGCTCAGTGGTTGAGCGTTAACCTATGAACCTGGAGGTCATGGCTCGATTCTCAGCCCGGGCATGTACCCAGGTTGCGGGCTTGATTCTCAATGTGGGGCATGTAGGAGGTGGCCAATCCATGATTCTCTCTCATTGTTGATGTTCCTCTCTCTCCCTCTCCCTTTCTCTCTGAAATCAATAAAAACATATATTTTTTTTTAAAAAAAGATAAGTCAGGAACAGAGGGAGAGAATAGTTTAGCTAACTTAGGTTAAAAAACACACAACCTGCTTAAATTGCAAGGCAGTAAAACTGCACCCTTTGGGGCTATCTTTCTATCAGGCAACAATAATGTGCAAATGGTCAATCTTCTCTTAGTTCAAATCTAACGTCACAGAATCTGGAAGCTAATCCAAAGTATCAAGTCAAACAAAGGTGCGTGCTTCCTCGAGAGCTGAGTGATTTCTGGTGAGGCCGCCTGACCACACTCCAGTACGACACTGAAGGCACGTGCAGCCATCACTTTGTCTTTTTTCAGGTTTGGAGAACTTTTCTTAACAGAGGGTTTGTTTTATCTTCCTCACCTCCACCTTCTTAGCTCATCCATTTGTTGTATTTGTCTCCATGGAGTCGCGCTGCAGGGTAGACAGTGGGGGGCAGAGATCCTGTGTCCTGTGGTGCCCTCAGGGAGCCCTTGGGGAGCCCCCTCTGCAGGCAAGGCCAGCACTGGCATCATTCCTTTCTAGGCAAGAGGAGGGAAGAGAGTGAAGCCATGGCGTGTCCTGGGCACACGGTGCCATTCACTGGGGCCCGGGCTTAGAGCAGGCAGCCTGGGCAGATGGCATTTTACCTTTTTAGGTGAAATAATGTTCACTTCTCTATAGTCACTTTGCAAACAAAAGCCTGTTTGCTTCAAGTCACTTTGCCTGTAGACCAAAGCCTTCTGGAATTTCTCTCTGGTTTTATTACTTTTTGCACTATTTCAGCGTCATTTTGGTTTGGTCAGTTTAATAATTTTGTAATAAGGTAACCTCTATACCTGTTATTTTTCTGAAAGGGGTTTATCACATTAGGGGTCCTACATGAATGATAGAAGATTACTTTCTAACTTTTGAACGACTTCATGTTTTATTTATCCTTGAATACTGTACTTTAAGGATCATTTAGCCCATAAGCCTGAACACAATTTTAAAAAATTATGCCTTAACAGTCAGTGATTATCACTGGTACTCAAGACATAATTAAACTGTTTATTATTATGCTCGGACCCTTACCTTTCATTCAGATCGATCACAGAGAGTGTATGGATGAGTGAACACTGCCTGAATCATTACACAATCACATATTATTTTACCGGTTAGGGACTGAAGAAAGATCAATCACAGAGAGCATGAGATAGATTTTATTTCCTAAGGAAGTCATCAGACAAATGAGCCAAGAAGCTGATACAAATATGTTTGTCACAACATGATTTCCAATAGCAAATGACAATAACAACAATACAAAGGACTAATAATGATTGATTACTATAAGTACGTGATGCTGCATCTATACAATGAAGTACTAAAGAGTTGTTTAATGCGATGACATCATTATTTGCGTTGGGTATAGCAAGGTACTCTGGGGTTTTGCTACATGAGCAGCAGGTTGAAAGGAGGGTAGGGCCTGTGACACAGGCATGTGAAGGCTGTGGACAGCTCCCCATGTGCAGGGGAAAAGCTGTGCGCATGGGGTTTCTGGTCGTGCTCTGGTAGCCAAGACGAGGCACACGTTTTTCTTCTTTGTTGACCTGGATTTTCAAGTTTTTCTACAATGAATATGCAGACTTAAACATCTAAGCAGGAGAGCCCCACCTCCAGCACCTTCCATAGGCCTGGGGGATTGAGGGAGGAGGGAAGGAAGGGAGAGAGGGAGGGAGGGAGGGAGGCAGGGAGGGAGGGAGGGAGGGGGGGATTGTTAGTCTACTTTCCCTGAGCTGCTTCTGCACTAACACCTTTGGGTCTGGAAGGGCCTGAGGTCCAGGAACCCAGTGTTCAGGGGGAGCCGGAAACCCCGGAAATGTTCAGAATTGCTGGGAGGAAGACGGTCTCCAGAACTTTCCTTCCCTGGGAGAGAGAGGGGGGTGTGAAGCCATGTGGGGAACCCTGCTCATCCTGTCTGGGGCAGTTTCAGGCCCCTCCCTGGCATGTTATTAAAGGCAAGGCATCCGTGCTGCCCTGGTCCCCACAAGAGCAGGCAGACACGGTGGCTCCGCGGGAGAAGGGAGTGCTCTCAGGTGTCCTCGGGAGCCCAGTCCATCCTCCCAGCAGGACTGGGGTTCTCTCCTGACCCCAGACCAGGATCCCCTGCTCTGTGGGGGCTGCTCACATGCTGGAGGTCGGAGGCTGCCTGCTCCCCAGGCCCCTGCCAGCTCAGCCTGTCTCCTCCTAACACCAGTTATTTCACGACAGGACGTCTGCTCTGCACGCTGAAGGGCAGGATGGTTCTGAGCGGGGCCCTGTGCTTCCGGTGAGTATCTGAGCCTCGGGGCTGGCCGTGTCCTAGGGGACAGCGCAGGTGCCTGCTGTCCAGCCTTTTCCGGGAGAGACGGGCCTGGCCCAGTGGAGCTCCAGCTCCCCACGTGAGGTGGGCAGTGGGCCATTGGGAACAGCGCCCCGCTGCCTAAGACACATCGGGCAGTCCCTCAGGGGGCTCCTCTGTGGGCAGAGGGACAGGGGGCTCCCTGTGTGGAGCTGCAGCCTCCTGCGTCCATATTGAGAGGAAATCAGGAGACCGCCTGAGCCCTGCTGTCATGCCCAGTGCGTGGCCTGGCATCCCTGGCCCCTGCCCCACTGTCCCTGCTGCTTTCAGGACAAAACAACCACAGCAACAAGACGACTGTCAGGCAGCCTGTCTGCCCTCGGGGGTGCGCTGACCGGGCCTTCGGCCATGCTCTGGACATCGGAGCGTGAATGACACTTGTCCTCGCTCTCACTGCACTCAGAGCCTCGACAGCTTTTCCCAAAGTGTGTTCCGTGGAGCCCAGTCCTGCGAGCCGCTGTACACGGGGGGCTCCCCCGTAAAGTGAGGGTGGGACATGCTCCTTATGGTTCCTTATGAGGGGAAGCACCTGAGGAACTTTGAGGCAGAGATTTGTCCATATTTAGCCGATACCGAGCCAGGTGTACACGCTGCACTTTATTCCACGTGATGTCTGGGGAACCCCTGCTGGACACACCTTCACTTCCCAGGACACCAGATAATCAGCTGAGCTCACAGATGAGAACCACATGTGAAAAGGAAAAGGAAAGCATTTTACATGTAAAGACATTCTGACGGTAGCAGGGCATCTGTGTCTGAGCAGAAGCCCCTGATGTCTTCAGTGATGACTGAGGTCGGGATTTCATCTGGGAGAACCCGGGCATGTCTAACTCACCGTCTTAGCTTGTGATGGGCAGACCGGACCCAAGGGCGAGCGGCTTGTCTGCTGTGAATCAGCAACCGTGGTGGTGGAGCAGGAGCAGGATGGGGACCCGGGACTCTGACTTTCCAACATGACACACGAGGGGCTGCTTGGTGTAGGAAAGACTGAATAGGGTGAAGGAGAGAACCCCAGACTCAGTGGGAGGCTGTGGGGCCAGTGGGGTTGGAAGAAGGTCGTGCCATTCCTTTGGCACAGTGGGCAGAGAGGGACAGTGCCTGGCACTGGGGGACTCTGGAGCCAGGCAAGCTGGACAACCCCCCCCCCCCTTCCCTGACTGAGTGTCATTGTCCTGATGTTCCAGAATGAAGGATGCAGCATTGAAGGTGCTTTATCTGCAGGATAACCAGCTGCTGGCCGGTGGGGTGCATGCAGGGAAGGCCGTGAAAGGTGGGTGGCCACAGACCCTTCTTCCCTAGGGCTCTGCTCTGAGGGGAGGGGCTGGGAAGGCTTAGAATGGCCTTGTGAGACCCAGGCCTGACACAGTAGCCAGGGCATCCTGAAGCCAGGCTCCTCGCAAGGACAAAAAGAGTGCCACCTCCCTGCAACGCCAGACACGTGTCCCAGTGCCACTGGGCACCGCTGTGCAAAGGTGGGACTGTTTTCCAAGACGAATGCTTTGTCCTGCCCTCACAGCTGGACTTAGGCCACACATCCTTTCCCTGGGAGCAGTGCTGGGAGGACCAGGAGGGCTCCCTGGGCCTTCATTCCCGTAGGGGGTGGGTTTCTGTCCCTTTGCCCTGGGTGCTCTCTGTGCCAGGGGACCCCTGGTCACTCAGAGTGGCAAGACCCTGAGAGCTGGTGGCACCCCTGGCTTGGTGCTTACTCATTCTGTGCCACACACTGCGAGCAGCAGGCCCTTCTCTCTGCAACAGCCCTCACCTGCCAGCCTGGGACACACTCCCTGGGCCTGGGGCCAGGCAGACCCTCTGCGAGGCTGTGTGTGTGCATGCACATGTATCTCTGAGTGCCTGTGTGCACACGTGTGTGCATGTGGGGGGAATGGCACAGAGGACTGAGACCCTCTCCTGTTCTTGGGAATCTCACTGGGGGTAGAAAGATGCCCAAGTCACTGAGGAGAGGCTGAGTGTGGAAGGGCATTAAAGGGGGAGGTCAGATGTCCTGTGAGGGCTGGTGGAGGCTTGAGGATTTGATCGTGGGCAAGAGGGTGGGTGTTGGTATGGGATGTGCTGTGTACCTTGATGTCTTCAGGCCAGCTGGCAGGCGAGCACCTTTCCCCACAGGACAGCTGCTGAGCCTGGGGACAGCACGCCTCACAGAGACCTGCTCCCCAAAGTCCACGACGTGGGAGGGGAAGTGGGAGGGAAGGTAGGCAAGGCCTCTGCATCTGGCTTCCTTCCTCTAGGAGAGGAGATCAGTGTTGTCCCCAATCGGTTTCTGGACGACAGCCTTTCTCCAGTCATCCTGGGCGTCCAGGGAGGGAGCCAGTGCCTGTCATGTGGGATGGGGCAGGAACCGACTCTGAAACTAGAGGTGAGTCCTGTGGGCTCCCCTGAGCAGCCGATGCTGGACCCCTGGAGCTGGGCTCCTGAGCGCCTCTCCCACCAGGTTCTGTTATTGCCCTGTGTCCCAAGCCCTTGTCCCAGTCCTCCTGGTCGCTCCACTCACACCCCTCGCCTGCCGTGCCCTCTGCCTGCAGCCAGTGGACATTATGGAGCTCTACCGCAGCCCCAAGGATTCCAGAGGCTTCACCTTCTACAGGCGGGACACGGGGCTCACCTCCAGGTTCGAATCGGCTGCCTTCCCGGGCTGGTTCCTCTGCACGGTGCCGGAAGCGGACCAGCCTCTTAGGCTCAGCCAGCTCCCGGGAGATGCCAGCTGGGACCACCCCATCATGGACTTCTACTTCCAGCAATGTGACTAGGGCAACCCACCTCCCAGGACCCCGGGGCAGAGCCCGCAGGGGTGAGTGGAGGAGGAGGAGGAGGGCCAGGCGACCCCGCTCCTCTGTTCTTGGGCCCCCACTTGATTGACTCGGCACATGGCCACTCTCCCTTCTCCTAGTTCCCAGTTTGGGTAAATCCTTCTAGATTTGGCGATTAGTTCCATTTCTTTCCCCGCTGGGTGGCGCTCCAGGTGTGGAACCTTTCAAAAATGACACGAGGTAAAAAAGGGGAGTGGTGGGAATCCTCATGCTTCCCAGTGCCCCTGAACCCCACAGGCCAGCCCCGTCCCAACTTGAGCCTATTAGGGCCACCAGCTGCCCACATGGGGTCCCATCACCACCCCTGTGCAGGGTCAAGGGTTAGGGACCCAAGGCCCAGTTCCTTCCCCTTCCCTTAATTGAGCTGCCATCATATATGCCTTCTCCATCCCCACCATCACGCTCTCACCATGGGCCTAGCAGGGTGGTGGTGCCCAAGGGCGTGGCTCCAGCTCGGAAGACTGAGGATGGGCAGGCAGTCACTACTTTTGAAACCCAAGGTACAATTAAAATCCAAGATGCTGGTATCTGTTCACATGGAGATGCTCTCGACACAGTAAGCGAGAAGAGCAAGTTACACAGTGGCGTAGCTTATAATTCCATTTTAATTAAAAATACATATTTAATTAAAAATATAGGAAAAAGTCTTCAAGAATTTACTTCAATTTTAGCAATGTCAGGCTGTTGGTATTAAGTGACACTCTTGTTGTTGTTCTTTTGTTTATTTGTATATTCTAATTGTTCTACACTGAAGATGGATTATCTGTGTCATGATCAGAAGAATTAATTTCGAGGTGAGCAGAGCAGACATCATTTCTAGTTGTCCTCGGCTCCCACTTCCCGGGAGTGAGATCGGGTGGTTGCCCTCTGCTGCTTTGGTCGGCAGCAGTGAGAGTCAGATCTCGGCAGGCTGGGAAGGAGGGCCTGGTGGGTGCCTGTGGCTGGAGTCTCCTGGGGAGGGAACCGACAGAGAGAACACCCTGCACTTTGACCGGGAGTGGCCACAGTCCCTGAGATTTCAGGGTATGGGATTCAGCCTCCCAGGGTCTCCAGTGCTGGTTGAGTATGTCCCCCTAAATTCGTGTCCTTCTGGGAACCTCAGACTGTGCCCTTATTTGGAGATAGGGCCTTTGCAGGTGCAATTGGTTGAGGCCATGCTGTATTGGATGGGCCCCTCACCCAATATGCCTGCTGTCCTGGTAAGAACAGGAGGCCCAGGGAAGAAGGCCGTGTGGAGACTGAGGCAGAGACTGGAGTTGAGCTACAATAAGGCAGGAGCGCCTTGGCCGAGGCACCCACAAGGAGGAGGTATTGTCCTGCCAGTCTCCCCAGCTGAGAGAGAGCACTTCCCTGGTGTTTTAAGCCACCAAGTCTGTGGCAATTGGTCATGGCAGCCCTGGAGAATGAACAGTCCAGTCTCCTGGGGTCCACACACTGCGTCCCCTCCCACATTGCACCAGCCCTCTCTGTGACCAGTAGAATATGGCAGAAGGAACGCGGTGCCACTTCTGAAACTCCCACCGCTTCTACGTTGTTCTCTCTCATTTCCTTGTTCCCTTGAGCTGGGGAAGCAGCTGCATGTTGTAAGCAGCCAATAGAGACCCGAGTGGTGAAAAATGAAGCCTCTTGCCAAGAGCTACGTGGAGCGTGGAAATGGCCCCTCCAGCCCTGGTCAGGCAGCCATGACGCTGCTGACTGCAACCTGGGAGGATAGTGACACAGCCAAGCTGCTGTAGGCACCCCCCCCTCCCCCAAGACCAAGCAAGAAGATAAATATCTGGTGCTTTAAGTGACTACGTTTTGGGGGTCACTTGTCAGGCAGCAATAGATGACTAATACACAGGGAAGAGAAGTAAATGCATTTATTTTACTATGATTGCGATTTTCTCCAATATTTTCATTTTCCTTCTCAAAGTGAATGTTGGCCCCTTTACATCCTTAAACGTTCTATTTAAAAGTTGATCGTATAAAATTTGCCAAATATTCTGTTTCTGCAAGTTTTAGTTCTTCCTTGACTACCTTTGTACCTCCAGCCATGCGTGCCAGGACTGTGACCCCAGTGTTCCCACCTAAACCCTGGGGATGAGAGCAGAGGCCAGGGAGGGGTTCAAATCTGAGCCAGGTGTTGCACCTGCTCCTCACCTGTCAGACCAGCATGGTTTCACTGAGGACTAACAAGGGGTGACCAGGCCAGAGGGTCTGCCTCCTAGACCTTCAGCCACAGCCTCCCAGGCCTGAGTGCTGAGAACATGGCTCCAGGCACCAGGCTATTTCTGTAGATCCAGCTCACACTCTGTGCCCACAGGCCCAGCCATGGTCCCTAATTGTCACCTCTTCTGAGGAGCTTCTGCTGAATTGAGACCCCTGGTCATCTGTTCTGACATTGTCTTACGTGTTCCTCTATGTGACCTCCCCCTCATTGTAGTAAGCTGACTTGGGGTCTCTGGTCCCTAATTTGACCTCAAAGTCAAGGCTGCATCAGCTTGTTTCCAAGTATCTTGCATAATCTTTGGCAATTGGAATCCAGTGAGTGGGATGTGGAAGCCATTTCTTACTCTGGCACATTCTCTTTCCTCCTCCATCTAAATTTCAGCTGCTCCACCCTCAGGGAGCAGCTGAAATCCCTTCAAGCTTCTACAGCCTGAAGTGGCTCTTTATCATTTGTAGGATGATAAAACTCAAGAGGGATTTAACAGGGATGAGCATGTAGCAGGGGAATTATAACCACCCCACCATTCTTTTGACATTGTTTCTGTAAATGCTGACTCTAGTATGTTGCTTGTAGATAAACAGCATGTTTGTATAAGAATCCTAGGAACTAACTTTAGAAGATACAGACTCCAACCTTCAGTTGTTCCTGACCTTCAACTGTAAAACCAGGATGATGCAAAACCAGGATGATGCACACCAGACCATCACTTGACCAAGATCCTTATTGGAATGGACTGTACTGGTCTGCATGTAGAGGACTTTTCAACACCATCTCCTTGATCTCTTTGTTCTACTTTCCTTCTCCCTCCTTATACAAATGCTGTCTGCACTGAGATGTTGGGATGGGCTATGGACAAGAGTCCCTCATCTTCTCAGGTGACTAGCACTTGAATAAACCTCTTTCCTTTTTCACCAGCACTTGTTTCACGAGTTTGGCTTTCATGGCACCAAATAGCCAAACCTTGGTTTTGGTTACAAGCTGACATGTTGATTGAAAAGGCCCTGGCATCATGACTTTCAAATGAAACAGGTCTCATGGTTTTAGATTTTTTCCATTTCAGCACAAGCCCTCTAGACTCGGCCAGTATTTACAGCGGTATATACCCATGACATATGTAGTCTGTGCCAGTTGTCATCACTGAGGACAATAGTGTGTCCTGAAGAGCAGAGAGGGTCCCAGACCATGTCTCAGGGGAGCAGCAGAGGTGCTGAGGGCTCATATCCTGAAGAAGATGTACAGGAAGAGCCCTCCTCAAGCACTCCAAGACCTGTCAGTAGGAGAACACACTCATTCTATGTGATCCCAGAACACACAAGTAGGACCAGTGAATGGATAGAGCTATTTTGCCTGAAAATTTTAACCATAAGGACAACACACACTGTTATAGTTTCTCCAAGAGGTTGTGATGTCTCTGGCCCTGGAGGTATTGAAGTAGAGCCTGCTTAGCTTATTACTCAGGGATGCTGTAGCACCCCTTATGTCATGTCTAAGACTCTTAAAATTATGTAATAAATTTGGTTTTTCACTCAAGGAAACTGTTTATTTGTATTGTCTCCAACACAATATGCCCTTGCCCCACAGATTGGAGTCTGGTCTTCTTAATTGTCTTTTCAAGTGTTTATGACTTAGCTCCTCAGCTGGACTGTAAAGTTACTTAACAGGGACCATGTAATGAATGTCTGTCACATAGCAGTGTGAATTCACTGATTGCCTGGAATCATACCCCATGCTCTGGCCATTTACACAGAGGGGCACGAGATTGAGAGAGGGGGTCAAGAATGACTGCTGGCTTTAGAAAACAGAAATCTGGTCCTGTTCCTGCCCATCTTCTCTTATGTCTCATTCTGCAGGCATCTGGGTGTTAGACTGACCTCTCCCACTTCCTCCCCGAGCCCTGCATGGAACTTTGCAAATGTCCTGAGATGAAGAAGTACAATAAGGCATTGGTCCCCAGAGAACACTACACTTAAGTGTTCTGCACCTTGTGAGTGGATAGCTATCCAGCCATCAGAGGTCGTTCTGCCCTTAGGCCCCTTGCACTCACTCCTCTTGCCTCTGCCACCTTTAAGCCTGGAATGGAGCCCATGGGTACCAAAGGGAAGGCAACATGAGGACATCTGACTCCAGCATTGTTTATCTAGTGGCCCAAACCACCAATAACAGTGTCAATGACAGTAGCTATGAGCAGGGGCCCAGCGCTGGGCTTCTGCAAACATTCATTAATCCCCCCACCTTCTCATTACCCATACTTGCTGTAGACATTGTGAAATCCCCAGGTTCTTCTTCTCCATCCTGGAGCCAATTTTAAAGATGCTGAAGGCCCAACCCACCAGATCAGACAGTATAAAGCCAGGCAGGTGCCCTGGAGAAGTCAGTTGGTGGTTCCAGGCACCGAGGATCTGAAGGTCAGTGGTGGGCAGGCAGTGTTCTCTCTATTTTCTTCTCCCTTCTATCCATATCCCCAATCTGGCCCCTTCCTTAACTGCTCCTGGCAACTCTCTGGATGACAAGATGTTCTATCCACAGAACACCATGGGATGCTGGGTAAGTCCCAGGGAATATAGAAGGAATTGGAAGAGAAACTATAGGTTAAGTTGAATCAAGGTAATGCTATTATTTAGAACTATAGACTTTAGAATGTAATGCCAGAGGAATTTTCTAGGCCAGTGGTGTTCAGTAGTGCTTGGTGAGGTTTGGGCTCTTTAGAGATACCCCAGTGCCTACTCTAGTGCTCAAGGGCAATGCTCGCATGTTCTGGTGTCTTCATCACACCTTGACTCAGCAAAAGCAGGCCCCCTTTACCCATTTTACTTTCAAGTTTCTGTGTAAAAATTCAGTGTAAAACTTAGTTTTTAAAAGTACTGCCTGGGCCAGCCTCTCATTCCAATGATAGTAAGTTGGAGGCCCAGGACAAAGGGGACTACCCAAGGTTGAATACGAATGAGCAACAGCACTAGATCTTGAGCCCACCTTGTCATTTAAATTCGCTGCATGGTTCTGTGTCCTGCCCATGAGCACCATTTGTGTCAGGAGGAGGTTGGAGGGAGCTATAAGCTATGCTTTATGGCTGCAAGATCGTGTTAATTTTTATAATGGAAACAAATGTCTGTAGCTAGAACAATAAACAATATAGTGAAATTTAATAGGATGCAGAGTAGGGTGCGATGGTAAAGGAAAGATTTATTAAACTCTGAGTCATGGCATCATAGATAGTTTGATCTGATTCTTAATAACCACATACTCTAACTTCATGATTTTATAGATGCTGAAACTGAGGGTTGCGGTTAAGTGAACTTGTATGACTTTAGCTGCCAGTTAATTTGGCAGAACTAGACATTTAACCTATAGATAATGATTCCATGTTCAGTGACCCTAATGCCATAGGTCATAGTGGACAGCAGTGAGGAGGAATGACTTTTGAGGCAGGGGAAGCAAAGACAGCCCTGAGTGTGCCCATTGGGAGGTAGGAAGAAGTCATATGCTTGGAGGGATGGCTCAGTGTCCACGGAGAAGTGAGACATGCTCATACAAGTAGATCTGGGCCAGAGGGTGGTGAAAGGGCAGCCACTGTGGATTGCAGAGCTGGGTGGGGATGTGTGAGAGCAGTGCTTAAAAGATGAGTCTATGTTGGTCTGGATTGTTGGTCTATGTTGGTCTTGATTCCTGGATTGAAAAACCAGGAATACAGGCAAGGTCTAATGGCTGTTAAGAAAACAAAGTTACATTTTAAAGAATAATCTATCAGAATTTGTTGATAAATCAAACATAGAGTCAGGAGATGTGGGAGAAATGGTCAATGACCCTCAGGTTTTTGAATCTCACTAGTTGGAGGAAGATTTTGTAGGTGGGAGAAATGAAATTGGGAGGGAGAATGGCTGGGAGTGGTGGGCAGGAGATGATCAATTTGACCTTAGAGATATTTGGTTGGATGTGATGGCAAGATGTCCAGAAGGGGGTGTCCTGTAGCTGCTGGAGATAAACTGGGGTGTTCAGCCTGGACTTGGGGGTGTAAACTAACATGATCATTGCAGTTATGGAAACGGGTGAATTGAAACTCTCTGGGAAATGAAAGAGAAGGGCTTAGGACTTTGACTGTGGCTTCCAGTGTTAGGGACACTCCTGAAGGAAGGGAGACTCTACAACGTCTGAGAAGAGGACGTGGAGAGGTGTGAAGGGAGGCAGTCAACACCAAGGGTCCCCAGGGGCAGTAGCTAACTATCAGAGGATTGAGAAAGAGTCTAGATTTGGTGCCACAGAAGCTAATGTGCGTCTTAGAAAACATATTCATGTGTAGGAGACGGAGGAGCAGATAGGATGGGAATGGTGTGCAAATAGCGTGGAGGATGTCAGGGTCTATTTGGTGTTGGTATGTGATCCAGGACAGGAGGACTGATGAGCTCTGTGACAGCCAGAGATGGTGTTCAGGGAGGGGTACAGGACAAAGTCCAGTGAAAGGCCACTTGGGGGCAAAAGAGAAGGAAAGGCTCTGGGGATGGAGTGTGTGGCACACTGGGAGGGACCGAGCCCCTGGGCTCCCTGATGGACTAGACATGAACTTCTCCCTCCTCCTCACTCCATCACAGTGTAGCCAGGACTCAGGCAGGGGCTGATGTGGGAGCCTGTAGGGGAGACACTGGGATTTGGGGCTATGCCAGGCCTGGAGGCTTCTGGGGCTTCAGGAGATTCAGCTGCCCTGAATTTCTGCCCATTCTTTGAGCTGATACTGACTGTGGGAGTCTTGCTGGTCCAGCTTCACATAGGGCCTTCCACTGGGTCTGCCTCAGCCAGACCACGGCACAGCTACCTGGATGCGCATACTTCTGCTGCCATAACCAAAGGATCCCCCGGAGTTTGGCTGAGAGAGCACAGCGTCAGGTGGGCTTCGTCGAGGCCATGCTGCTGTGGGCCTCTCTAGGCTGGGGGATCTTCCCGTCTTTGCTACTCAAAGTGTGGCTTAGGGACCAGCAGCATTGTCCCTTGGTTGTGAGTTTGAAATGCAGAGTCTTAGGTCCCACCCCAGACCAAGGGAATCAGAATCTGCTTTTAGCAATAGCTGCAAATGAATTACATGTTCACCAGAGAGAGAACTGAGCTAGCCTAGCGGTCCAAGCCTGGCTGATCACTGGGATCACGCCAAGCTCAGGAAAGACTCATCAAGAACCCCCAGGTGACTCAATGGGCAGGCACTTTTGGGAGCCAGTGACTTTATCTGAACGCCTCACTTAAAAAAATTAAAACATTGGACTGAAGGGTCCCAGGTTAGATTCTGGTCAAGGGCACGAACCTTGGTTGCAGGCTCAATCCCTGGACCCAGGTTGGGGTCCAACCAATCAATGTTTCTGTCTCTCTCTCTGTCTCTCCCCTTCCCTTCCACTCTCTCTAAAAATATCAATGAAAAAAATCCTAGGGTGAGGATTAAAAAAAATTTAAAACTTACTTTATATTAAAACTAAAATTCATATTTATATAGGAAGAATGTTAACATCTTAAAAAAATAAAAATCACTCATGCTACTGCAGGTCAGTGCTATAGTGATGTGGGCTCCTTTGCTTCTGTGTCTTTGAATGCTTGTGGATTTCAGTGGAATCATAACTTATGCATTATTTTTATTCTGCACTTTTCACTTGGTATATTTGGAACATTTTTATGTAATAAAATCTCCTACAATATCGTATTTAATGTACACATACTTTCTTATTTACTAGATTGCCATAATTTTTAAACCAATGGCCTATTATTGAACACTAGAGGCCCAGTGCATGAAATTCATGCACGGGAGGGGGGGGAGCAGTTAGGGGGATGGGGCCTAAACTGGCAGTTGGACATCCCTCTCACAATCTGGGACTGCTGGCTCCTAACTGCTCTCCTGCCTGCCTGCCTGATTGCCCCTAACTGCCTCTGCTTGCCAGCCTGATCACCCCTAACTGCCTCTGCTTGCCAGCCTGATTGCCCCCTAACTGCCCCCCTGCTGGCCTGGTCACCCCCTAACTGCTCCCCTGCTGGCCTGATCGCCCCTAACCACCTCTGCCTCAGCCCCCACCACCATGGCTTTGTCCGGAAGTTAGACGTCCAGTCGACCTGGTCCAATTAGCATATTATTCTTTATTAGTATAGATTTAGAGTATTTCTAACTTCCTGCTATTGTGAAAAGTGATGTAGTGAAGATCTTTGTGATTGCATGTTTGGGCAATCTCTTATGTTTCATTAGAATAAGAGCAATGGATGAACTTGCCAAGCACGAAGACTTCTTTAATGCTTTGATCACATCACCAATATCACCCAGAATTTGCAGTCCTGCCCAGTGCCCTCTTATCCTTTACTCCCACCAACCCTCACTCTGACTGCAAAGCCCAGAGACAGGAAATGGGCTGTCCAATGGACTGAGGCAGATCCAGCACTAAAGCTGTCTCGGCCCCACCTCCTTCTAACATGCAGGCCTAGGAGCTCGGTGCTGCTGATTTGGCTGAGCCCGCCATCAGCATCAACCTGTCCTCTCATCTGCCTCCACGCAGCCTCAGTGCCTCCCTCTCCCTCTCTGAGCCTTGCTCCTTTCTACCGCCTTTCTTCTCCCACCCCCTCTATTTTCTGCTCTCCTACCTTATTTCTTCCCTTTCCCCTTCTTGGTGAGAATCTTACCTGCTCGGTACACCTCAGCCCTAGCCATCCTTGCATTTTGCTTTTCTGGGCTATTTTCTAACTCTTACCACACTCAGGACCTGATTTGCTCTGGTTCTTTTCAAGCTAGATTCCAGACCAGCCCTTTGGAAGGTCACGTTAGGGCAAAGTTCTGGGGCAGATAACCTGGCTGAAAGGAGAGGCTTTGTGGTCTGGGGTTTATATGGGGACACTGGCTTCAGTTTCGATCACTCATCCTCAAAAACACAAGTGTCTCTACCTCGAGCCTGTCCTGTTTCCACGTGGTGTCGTTGCGGGAGCTGGTCAGGTCAGGGTTTGGATGGTCTCTCTTCCACAGTCTGGGTAAGGCGACCAGTCCCTGGGAACAAGCTGTCTCACTCTGCAGGGCGGGGTCCGCACCTCCTGCTCGGTGGGGGAGGGCAGCTGTGGTGACTATGTCCTTGGGAAGTGGGGCAAGGTTCCAGGGAGCCCATCCTCAAGCTCTGACGCTCCAGCCCTCTTCCCACCCCCCCCCCCCCCCCCCAGGCTCAGCCATGGGAAGTGCTCCTGGAGAAACCATTTGGGGAGCGTATTCTCTGATTTCGCAGGGCTGGCACCAGGGCACGTTCTCAAGCTCACACCCCAGCCAGCTCGACCTGTTCCCAGATGCCCAAATGAGAGGGGCCAGTGCTGCCTGGAGTGTACAGGGCTAGGGAGACCTCGGTGGACTCGGGGGGCCAGTTACGGAACAGCGGCCTGGTGGGACCTTCCACCCTGTGACTGGGGATTTGGGGCTCATGGGGTGTCTGCCCCCAGCTCCACTGCCTCCTCTGACAGCCCTTCTCTCTTTTCCCTTAACAAGGACCATTCACCTGGGATTGCAGGAATGTGCTCCCTCCCCATGGCAAGATACTACATGTAAGTCCTCCCTTTCTTTGTCAGGAGCCTGGGGATGACGCGGGAGAGGAAAGAGGCCGAAGCAGAAGGGCAAGCCTCCTTCTTACCCTAGAAACCTCAAATGCCCTGTAATTAAGTGTGATCGCCACCCCGATAACAACAGTCTCTTTCCTGAGCATCTGCAAGATGCCAGCCATGTACTGCCTTGTCTCCATCCTAAGAAATCGATGAGAGGTTGTTACTAAGCCCATTTTACAGATCGAGAAACAAGCTCAGAAGTTAAACAAATTCCTGGATGTCACCCAGAGCCAGGGCCCAGACTGCACACTCTCTGTGCTGCTCCATCCTCCCTCTGAAAGCTCAGGGACCATTCTGCGTCTCAGGGACAACACCGCTCTATGCTGGCCTCTGTGGCCTCACTCCTAACCCGGGTTTCTGTATCTTGCTTGCATTTTATCTTGTTTGACATTTGGGTGTTCACTTACACTTTACTCTTTACTGTCCATGACTTTTTATGTAAATTACCTCCGGCCCTTAGGGAAGGTGATGGGATGTAATGAATAAAATACACTGGCCGCTGGGGTGCCTGTCCTCAGCTCCCGCATGGCCATCCTGTCCCGACATGAGCCAGTCAGGGCCCCAGGAAGTCACGGCGCGGCTGGAAGGCGAGACACATGCACAAAACATGCAAATGACAAGACAGGTGCCTACCTTGGGGTATCTGGCTTGGGTTCAGGTCTCCAAATAGACTCTTGCCGGCGGGCGCATTGCATACTGCCTTGGAGGACCAGTTGGCAAGCCCAGGATCCTCAGATGCTTATTTTTTTATTGTGTAAGTGAACTTGCCTTAAACACAGTCATTAGCTAAGGGTGTTGTGATGAGCTGTTACTGAGAAAGGAAGCTCTCCTGGAGGCAGCGGCGTTGGCCCTGAGCCTCTGCCCTGGAAAGTAAGGAGGCTGCTCCGGCCTGAGAGTGGCTGACAAACGTCTCTGAAACCAGCCAGGCGACTGAGCTAATGGCCGCACGGCTTTGAGGTTGCACACGCTCGCTCAGCGCAGTTTCTCAGCCCCAGGCACAGTCACCCGCCCAGGCCCAGCATCGCCACCACGGCCAAGCCCAGTGGCTGTCATCAGGCCGCTCCAGCTTTCTGCTGACCTCCTTACTTGGCACCCGTAACATGGGTGCCCCAGAGTTCACCTGCTCGGTACAGGGGACCTTATTTACCATCACATAGAAAATTATTTCCCCAATTTATGGATTTTCTTCTATTAAAAAGTGTTTAAATATTTGAAAAGCAAATCAACTTCAATATACACTCAATTGATTCCTTCAATAAGAGAATAAACCTCTGTGAAGAACTGAGGCAGGCCCAGAAAACCCAGGAGAAGACTCACTGTATTCAAGAGACACCTGAGGAGATTTCTCCAGAAGGCAGGGGAAAAGGGCTACATCGTCCAGAAACTTCTCTACCCGCACAGTGAGATGGCACCCGCTCTCCTCAATGCCCTGAAGGCCTGACAGAGCCCAAGCCTTGTAAAGGGAGGAGGTGCAGCCTCTGACGAGATCCAGAAGGCCTTTCTGCCTTAAGATGACCTGGTCCTTATCTGCCCCTTCTCACCTGTAGGAGGAGAAAACCCCCAGATACTTAGTATGTAATCAGATTGTAGGGTTGGGGCTCAGCGGTGCCATCAGCATTGCCATCTGTTCCAGAATTAAGGATGCCGACCAGAAGGCTCTGTACATAAGAGGCGACCAGCTCCTGGTGGGAGACCCTGATGCGGACAACTGCTGTGCAGGTGAGCCCTGAGCCTCCGCTGCTGGAACCCGCCCAGGCTCCATCTGCCACATGTTCTCCCTGCCCTCCTGCCTCTGGAGACAGTGAGAAGAGACAGGGAACAACTGAGACCCCTCCTAGTAAGAGGGCATAACCCTGAAGTCGTCCCAGTTCATCCTGCTGGGCCCTGGTCCAGTTCCTGCCCAAACGAGGCTCATCCAGAGCTTGTGATGTGGGTCGGCTCAAGCCCTGGCACTCTCCTCTCTTCCTTCCCAGAGAAGATCTGCATACTTCCCAACAGAGGCCTGGACCGCACCCAACTTCCCATCTTCCTGGGGATCCAGGGAGGCAGGCGCTGCCTGGCCTGTGTGGAGACAGGGGAGGGGCCTGCCCTGAAGCTGGAGGTGAGACACGTCCTGTTCTAGGGGACCCTGCAAAGCCGCCTGTCCTCCAGGTCACTCTGGCATCTCTGCTCCCACCTGTGGGTGCCCTGCCAGGTCCACATGTCCCTCTCCAGCAGGTTTCTGCCATCTCCCTCTGCACCCAGTGCCAAGACCCTTAACCCCCATAGCCCTCAGGAGGCCGTTCCCAGTAAAGACCCTCCCTGCCCAGTCCCGCCCTGGCCTCCTCCACAGCCTCACCCTACAGCCGGCTGCTTTCCCCCACAGGATGTGAGCATCGAGGACCTGTACAAGGCCGGCGAGCAGGCCACACACTTCACCTTCTTCCAGAGAAGCCTGGGCTCCGCCTTCAGGCTCGAGGCTGCAGCCTGGCCGGGCTGGTTTCTCTGTGGCCCAGCTGAGCCCCAGCAGCCGGTTCGACTGGCCGAGGAGACTGAACCCTCCGCCCGCACTGAGTTCTACTTTGAACAGAGTCGGTAGGAAGGCAGCAGGCAGAGGTCCAGCCTGGGGCCCCCAAAGCAGGCCCATCTGCTCGGGGCCAGTGGTAGGCAGAGCGATGCTCTTCAGCGATGTCACCTCCTGACCCCCAGCACCTGGGAATATGTTACCTTACAAGGCAAAGGGACTGGGAGTAAGTTAAAGGTCTTGAGATAGGGAGACCATCCTGGATTATGGGGCGGGGGGGTGGATGGGCAATGTCTCACGGGGTCCTCATAAGAGGGAGGCAGGAGGGCAAGAGTCAGAGAGAGATGGGAAGAGGCGGTGCTGCTAACTTTAAAGATGGAAAGGGGCTGTGGCAGGCATGCACGTGGTCCAGAAGCTGGACGAGGCAAGGGAACGATTCTCCCCTAAAACCTCCAGAAGGAGACAGCCCTGCGACTACCTGATTTTAATCCCATGATGCCATTTCCCGCACCTGCCATCCAGAGCTGCGAAATATTAAATGTGTGCTGTTTTCAGCTCCACGTGTACGGTGGTTTGTTACAGCAGCTGCAGGAAACTGATACAGGGCCTCAGGCCCCGGTGCTGTGTCCAATGCCAGGGGAACCTTGAGGAGTCCCCAGAAGGCTGGCCATGGCTGCTCCTCTAGTCTCTCTGCTCCAGAGCTTCCAGAACAGCCAAGACGCTCCAGGGAGAACCCAGCTGTCCTCCTCTGTTCACGGACAATGCCTTGGGCAGCTAACGGTTTCAGTTTTAGTTCAAGTTTTACAACTTTCTTATGAGATACTTCGCAATGTATCACTCCTTCAACCTTTGTCTGCTGGTTCCGATGAGCGAGGAGCAAGGAGGGGCAGCGAAGGATGGGCAGTGGGTTTCTACGGGATGGGATGAGTTTAAGGTTCCAGTGGAACTGTTAGGTTGAGGTGACTTGTTACAGCTGGGATACAGGCTAGAGAGTTTGCAGCCAGAACTGACACTCATTCTCAGAGCTCGGTCTCTCTCCACTCATAGAGGATGTGTGGGAGGGCGCCAGCCAGAGCCCAGGGAGCCGGGCTCAGAGCAGGTGGGCTGCTGGCACCATGCCTCTCTTGTAAAACCGCTCCACATCTGTGCAACAGGTGCCATGGGCCAAGGAGTTTCAGAGCACTATGATTTCACCCAGAGCGACCCACAGGGGGGCTCCTGACCTCCTTCTGACAGGCGAGGAGCCTGTACCGAGAGAAGTGAAATAATGCGCTGCACATGGAGCATCTGACACCAATGGCCATCCACAGTGTATTCCACTCTTATTCCAGGAGCTGGGGTAGAATGAGGAACAGAGCCAAGGTCCTTGGAGCTGATAATTGAGTGTGAGAAACACTAAACAAACAAATAAACAAACAAATAAGAAAACAAACAAGGGCAACTGACCTGATAGAGGGTGGTAACAGTGAGGTGGACAGGGAGGTGACTGACTTTTTTGAGAAGGTGACACATGAGCTGAGACTGAGGGACAGGAAGGAGTGGGCAAGGAGTGATCCCGGGGAGGAGGAGCCAACACAGAGGCCCTGGGACCCAGGGGGCGTGGTGTTCATTTAGCAGCAGAAGGCCAGGGGGCTGCAGCATGGAGAGTGATGCGGAGGGTCAGGAGGTGAGCAAGACCACAGGACTGGTCAGAGGGCCTCGAAGGCAGAGTAAGAGCTTTGGTTCATTTTCAGATGCAAAGGGAAGCCAGAGGATAGTCATGCTGGGCTCCATGGCTCTGACCTGTCTAGGTTCTTCCCTTGCCTGTCCATGGCCTGGTGTTTCTGGTTGGGACTACCCTGTGCCTTTTGAGGGCTTGTTCTGTTTAAGTTTGGTTCACCAGTGCCCAGAGCAGCTGCTGGTACAGTGGGAGGTGCTGAGCAAATGCAAAATCTCCAACAACTTTGTAGATGATCACTTGGTTCCTGTCGGGTCAGCCTGAGGAGCTGGGGCAGCAAGGGGATGGTGCCGCTGCAGCTGGAGCTAGAGATGGAGCTGGAGCTGGAGCTGGAGCTGGAGCTGGAGCTGGAGCTAGAGCTGGAGCTGGAGCTGGAGCTGGTGGCGGTGGGGGCAGGCTTAGCGAGGGCAGGGCCTTTAACCTGCGCCTCTGAGAAAATGGACTTTTCCCAACAGGGAATGTGGGGAGGGGCACTGCAGGCAGAGAGAATGACTCAGGGAGGTGATGATGGAGCGCCCACCCGGTGCGTGGAGTCACCTGTGGGCTGGGGCCCAGGGCTTGTGGCTGAGGAGACAGGTGGGGCCTGACTGTGAGCGCCTTGGAGGGAGGTTAGACTTCATGTAGGAGGCCTGGAGGAGTCAGACCTGGGTCTTAAGCCTGGGCCCTGAAGGTCCACACCAAACCCACCTGCTGCTGCCCCTTCAGCTCAGTTCGGTTTCCTGCTCTCCCCTCCGCACCCACAGGCCTTCTGCTGGGCACTGCCCTGGGGTCAGTGTGGCACTCTGGCTTGACCCATCTCTGGCCACAGCCCCTCATCTCCTTCACTCACGGTAACTCACCTGACCCAACCTGAGCAGAGCCCACTCATGGCAGGGGACGTGGCATGCCTGGTGGCTGTGGGCACAGCCCAGAAGAGAAGGGCCAGCCAAGTGAATTGGATCAAGTTCTCTACTCACGTGAGACACCATTTGCGCACCTAACGTATGCCGGTTCTGTGTTCATGCTCAGGAGAGCGAGAGGCTCCGTGAGAGTTAAAAGACACAGTGCCAATGGGAGCCTGCAGGGCTCTGGGGAAACAATGGAGGCTCTGGTCCTGGGGGTTTCAGAGGGAGACCTGAAGTGCCTTCTGACAGGTGCAGTTCAGAGGTGCCACCTCCTGAGCTGTCCCTTAAACGCCTTTTCCTCTCCGGTGACCACACCAGAGGCTTCATCCCACAACCAGCCCTTCAGCACTATCCTCACAGACATTCCTGAGAGAGGTTCACTGGGGGTCTTACCCACTATTCACGTCTCAGAGTGAACTGGAGGGTCAGAGCCGAGACAGTAAGCTGGTGCTCAGAGCGCATGGTGACCGCTCCTGAGGTTCTGGGAGGCGTGAGCAGGGCAGGATGGTCCCGGCGGAGGAGACGGCCCAAAATAGGCCTGAAGGAGGTGCTGTGTGTGGCCGTGTGTGTGTTAGTGCATGCAGGTATGTGTGCACATGTGTGTATGGTGTGTGTGTGTGTATGCATGAACTTACCTGTGTGCATGTGTACTGTGTGTATGCATGAGTGTCTGGGTGTGTGTATGTGCTGTGTGTGTGCATGAGTGTCTGGGTGTGGGTATATGTGTTCATGTACTTGTGTCCACCTGTGTGCACATGAACTATGTGTGTGCATGAGTGTCTGGTGTGTGTGTACGTATTGTGGGTTCCGCACATGGGCAGTGGTTGATACATAAAAGCCCATGTTTTTATTCCAGGAAGCTCTGGAGCAACGTCATACAGAGGGTGATGTGTTCAGGGTCTCCTGTAACCCGGGTGTCACTCCAACATTCCCTTTGAGCACATTTTTATCTCGTGATCCCACCACCGGTACTGCAGGCCCTACACACAACTGCTCAAAACGTTGGCCACTGTCTGCACAACTCAGGGCAGCTCCAGGCAGGTCCACACTCAGATTTAGGGAGGAAGAGTGAAAGTGAGAAAGAAAACTTAATGGGACCCAGCTTTTCCTGGATACCATTCTGCGAAAACATACAACCATTTCCGAAATGAACATGACAGAAATGAACGAAATGGGCACCAACAGAGAAGTTTGTCTTGGTCAGAAGCACTGGTGTTTGTTACTTGAGCTCACTTCCTGTTGGATTTTACATTTGTGTAACTAAATAAAGGGTTTGCTAGTATTTGACCAAAACAGAGTCTATTTACCCCCAAGCAAATTCCACTCTCTGCCCCTAAAAGACTATTCTGAGGCCAGGAACCTGCAGCTCTGCTTCCAGTCTGCAGGTGGCGACAAAGATCAACTTCTGCGGCATTTTGGGGAGCAATTTTGATGAAGTCCTCTGTATTTAGTGTCACGGGGGTCAGCCCCTTACCCCATATCTCCACCTCACTCACAGTAGCAGCATCTATCTCACGCTGTGCAGATCTGAATCCCACGACAACTCCTCCCTTCCCACAGCAGCAGATTCCTAGCAACCCCTCACAGGAGGAGCAGACCTCTGAGCCTGGGAGGGCAGAGAAATGTAAACACACTCTCTTACATTCCTGCCTGTATGTGGAGGAGCAAACCTGCCTGACCCCTCCTCCTGTGACCGTGAGTCTGCAGTACATCCTCTGCAGTGAGTCCTCCCACCCTTGTCCCCTCCGACGAGTTTGGGACATGGGTCCAGGGCCTGTGATAGCAGGTGAGGCCAAGGAGGCTCTGCACTGGAACTCTCCCATGACGTTTTCTGGAGCTCCAGAGAGCAGTGCTGGTCACATGACCCATGTGCTCAGAGGACCGCAGACTCGGTTTCTCCTAATCAAGCACTTCCCACACTGACGCCAGGGAACAGGGTTCCAGGGAATGCTCCTGGGTTAATGGGGAAAATGAGTCACTGTGGTGGTTAATTTTTATGCAGCAACTTGACAGCTAAGTGATGCCCAGGTGGCTGCCAGACACTGTCTCTAGGTGTGTCTGTCAGGGTGTCTCCGGAAGAGCTTACACTTGAATCAGTGACTGAGTGAAGCAGACACCTTTCCAGTGTGGGTGGGCACCATCCAGTCCATCGAGGGCCCCAGCAGAACAAAAAGCCAGAGAAAGGGCGAGGTTGGTCTCTTTTCTTGAGCTGGGATGTCCATTTGTTCCCGTCCTCAGACTTCAAAGCCCCTGGTTCCAGGGCGTTCAGACTCAGACTGAGTTCTACCACTGCTTTCCCGATCCTTCAGCTTTCAGACAGCAGACCTTGCGACTTCTGGCTTCCATAACCTTGTAACAGTGAGCAACTTCTTATACTTTATCTATCCATCATCTATCTATCTATCTATCTATCTACCTACCTACCTACCTATCTATCTTAGCGCACACGCACACACACACACACACCTGCTGCTGATTCTTGGGGGGACCCTCATACCTGTTTACTTTGCTTCAGCCACACCAGGCTCCTAACTTTTCCCCAGAGATTGCAGGCATGGTGCTACCCAAGGCCTTTACATCAGCCTTCTGTCTGGAAGTCTCACTTCCTCCATGAGGCTGCTCTGATCACTTAACATGTCCCACACCCCCCTCTCCGCGTCTCTGCACCCCTGGGTGCCCTATGGCACGATCACGTGCTAACACACTCTGACCGCAGTGTGCGCTGAGCTCCACCTCCTCCAGGTCAGCCGACGGCAAAGAGAGCCCAGTCAGTGTACGTGACGCTGGGATGCCTGTTTCCATGACACAAAGGGAATCACTAAAACAGGAAGCTGACAATCAAAACATAACCCTCCTACAGAAAGCATGTGCTGCAAATGTGACCAGCGTGTCACCTCTGCTGGGCCTGTTAGTCACCGAAGATCATGGAACATCACCCTCATTCACAGGCTGC